TTTTTATTTCCTGGATATTTAATAATTCTGACATCATCAAGTGATGTTTCCCAATACCAACTATATCGATAACTTCCAACTTACTACTTATGTCATTCTCTTTTGTAACAATCACTGAAAATAGTAATGTTCAATGGCTAACATATTTATATAACATGGAAAAATAATTTTACACTTTCGTGCCTGAAAATAAGTGAGCGTGAGCTATTTAATGTATGACTGTATTCTTCCATTCTGTACGTATATAGAAATAAAAATTTGTGATGTCAGAGTTATAAGTCCTAATAGCTACGTCAATTTTTTAACAAGAAAGAGTGAACGTAATTCTTTTCTATTACAGTAGAAATAACTGAACTCATAGGATTTCAAGTTTTCCACTTTTTGTATCTCGCAGTGACGAGTGCAGAAGCAACTACATTTAAAAAACACTACTCATGTTTTTACTCAAAATAATCAATCAATCAACTGACAAATCATTGCTAAACAGTACTGAGAAGAAAACTCTACTTTTGTATTTTAGACCTCAAAAAGTAAGTTTGGCCTCAGAAAAAAGTATTCAAAATTAACTGAACAAATTAATCGAACAAAAATATGCAGTGAAAAACTGTTCCCTCGAAAGTGCAGAAGTTTACGGTTTAGTCCAAAAGAAAGTGAAAATAATGAACATTTTCAACCAAAATGTTTGTGTAAAAAGTTATAAAAGTAAATAAGGGCAAAATTAAAAACATGATAAATGTCATTATTGCCCTTTGTAGTGATTTGGGAAAATTAAAAAAAATTGTGTGATAACTAACCGAAATTACAAATGATATACTGTAATCATGAATTCCTACAGATTTTTGCTTAAAATGGAGTGAATAATCAATTTCCATCCCTACAAAAATTTTTAAATTACCAAATGTCTGAATATCTAGGATAAAATTACAAAGATTAATAACTGCTATACATTTTGAAATGATTTTACACATTTAGATAGTACAACAAATAACCAACCGATCATTCTGCTGTCACAAAATTTTTGAGGAAAAGTATCGGAATATATTACTGAGTAATAGCTTAAATTCAGTCTCAATATTGTTGCATTCAAATATTGTAATTTTAATTCAATTTTGACGGCGCAATATGAGCCAATTATTTTGGAACTATTCCGACTAATTTCAATTCTTGATTAACAAAATAACAGCGCGATTTCCTTAGTTTATAGTGATACTTGAATAAATTTTGCAGTAACATAGATTGAATATCGAAATAAGCTAATTAACTGAGCAGCTTACTAGTGTTATAAGCAGCCTTTCGATTGAATAATTCAGAATAGTTGGAGGATCGTTATCTACAGCTACTTTTTCTCTCGCATTTTAAAAGCAGACGAAGTATTTCGACTTTAACACAGGATTTCACTTCCAAAATTACACAAAAAATTAATTGAATGGATGATTAAAAAAACTTAATAATCTGATATTGACACTAGAAGATTTCTAAAATCACTTTCTCCGTAAAGAAATTTTGACATCAGCCAACTGTATGCTATACAAACAAAGCAAAAAAAAATTTTTTTGAACCACCTTTCACTGCAAATCTAAAAGTTTTTCTCATTCAAACCTCATAAGAATCTGCAAAACCGTAAAATTGTAATATTCAAAACTTATGTTGAATTTAAAATCCCAAAAAATTATAAGATTTTCTTGCAAAAATAGTTTCCCCTCTATGTTTATGCATTGTCTGGAAACCAAAATAAGCATAGATTTAGGGATACTATTCTTGTTGTGCCAAAAATTTCCAAGTTATTTTGTTAGCTGTCTATTACTGAAGGCAATGAGAGAAAAAATATGAATTTGACTAATTAATTATCAGCAATTATTACAGCGCATCTTAATTGACTGTGTCATCAATAATGTTTTGTTCAGTTAAAAATACATGAATTTCAGAGTGTTTCAACTGCATATTTTATATGCAAATAGAACCTGCAATGGCAAAGTGCTATAGAATTTAAATATATATAGAAAACAAGGAACAAACGAATGACAAATGGACGGGTGAGAGGAGGTAAAGAACTCTGAATTAGAGATAAAATGAATGAGTGATATTGGCTTGAAGGTTATGAGACTAACTGAGATAAACGGAAGAAAGCAGTTGATCTGTGTTGCACATGATGCTTGTAGAATTAAGACCTGATGAAAAAAGAGCAACAAGGAGGTAAGGACCACAATGCAGAAGGCACTAACGCATGCCTTTTTCTTCAATATATGCTTTGCACCTTTTATAACTTTTGTTTTATGCGTCAACTTTGATTACCGAAATTCCATAAACTAAATTATTATTTACTGTAAATAAAAAATGTATACTTCAAAGCTTTTTTGCTCTACAACATAATCGCTGAAAAATTGCATAATGAATGCAGTTTTTGCAACAAAAAAATAACTGGAACGTTTTCCCAATGTATTTGATTGCATCGTCATTCTCTTCCAAACTTCGATAAGCATAGAAAAAAGTATTGAATGAAAATAATAGGCTGTGAGCTGAATATACCTGAGAAGCGATCAAAGCAAAAAGATGGAATATTCCACAACTGAGCATGCAGAAATTGAATATTTCACAAATGAGCAAAATTTTTTGATAAATCCTGTTCATTTGTGAAAAATTCTCCAGGCTAGATCAAGAACTGTTCAAAAACAAATGCCTTAAAAAATATTCACAGTTCTGAAGAACAAATAACACATTTATCAAGAATAGCTGAACGACTTCCGTGAATACTACCAAGTTATGTCAGGATGTCTACTAGTTATTTTATCGAAAGATATTAGGTGAATCGATCCAAACTGTTAAGCTCTATTCTCACTGTTTTTACTGACTTTTTTAATGGAAAAAAACAATTAACATAAGTTTTTCACGCCTTTTATAAATGCAGGTAACGAAAATAATTTTATTGCAGACATCTTCGTGCTGTTACATCCTCAGCCTTTAAAAACTTTTCATACTGTACTAATACTTTTTCATCAATGCGTTCAAAGTAAGTTTTGAGAAAGTCCATCTCTTTCTAAAATTAATAATTACTTGAGACCTTCTAATTGAAGCAATCAATATAAGCACACCACACACTAAAGTACAATGCAGGACCACAATGCAGATAGCACTAACGCATGCCTTTTCTGCAATATATGCTTGCAGCAAAAACACCAAAATCCACTCTCTTAGGTTTCACGTACGAAACAGGTACATTGAAATTCTATACATAAATTCAACATTCGTCGACCTTACTCATAACACAGAAATCTCACTTTCTTCAGTTTGAAGAAGTAGAATCAAGAGGTTCAAAGATCGCAGTATTCGTAAGAATTTCCCCATACGTAAGAATACATGTTTATCATTCAGTAGCACTAATCAGGTGGATAAAACACCCAATTCGAAAACTCCCGTAAAGTGTACACCACTTACTTCACTGAAGGACTGTTATATTCTATAGTGATTTAGAACACATCACACCAATCTACAGAAGCTGATTCCCTACAAAATACAACATCTACCGCAGAAAATTTGCAAACGGACTTCACGAAGTAATTTAATTAGAAACTAGCAGTAAAATACCGTACTACAAAGTGAAGAACCCACAGCCCTTTATGAATAATATCACCACTTAAACATTTGCGCACGATAAAAACCTGTATTTACTTTTTTCCTACCATATGCAAACAAAAAAGAATGAAAGCGCAGAAAGCGTCTTAAATCACACAATGAACTGACATTTAATTGAAAATACCTTCAATACGAAATGGTAGGAATTTGAGGGGAAACGACAGTCAAAAATAATAGAATATTTCCAACCCATCCACTTTCAAGCATTGTTTTCCTGAGATCTAATTATGGAACAAACTGCCAATTCAAATGACTGGAACAGTAAGATGCATTTTTTACACAGAAAATAATGAGACAAAAGTTTCGAGCCGTACACCATAGTATCCACTTAAACTCCAGTATAAGCTCTCGAAACAAAAGCATCAAAAACTATTACAATGAAACACCAAAACTTGCTTTGCACTATACGAAACCAAAACAGTGAGGAGCGAAAAATTCAATGAAACCGTATTCATACAAATCAAAATAATAACGTATGGACACAAGGTATGGATATAAGAACAAGTAATAAAATATTTGATAGTTAACTTTTACACCAAGTAGAAGAGAACAAAACAATACTAGTATTCTACAATACCAATACCAAGAAAAAGTACAGAAAGAATATGATCATTTAAACTGAATACCAGAAACTGCTCAATTTGTCTACTTATAATACTGCGAAATTCTTTCTCTCTAATGAATTTGCTCCTTTCAAACCTGTGGCAGATGAGCCATGTCAGAATTTCACTTTTGTTCATTGCATTAAAGCAAAAATTAAAAAACCTGAATTCTGAACAAAACAAACTATACTAAAGTCTGTTCACTTTTGAGATAACTTGCTTGTTATTACATGGGACCAAAAACGGACAAAAGAATAATGAATATTGAACTTTTTGTTACTGAGATGGTTTATGAGATCAAGCTGTATTTAATATTACTAGTAAATAAAGACTGCAAACAAGAAAAATGCGCAAATCTTAAATTTGATGACAAAACAATCAGTGGTGATCTTGTTGAAAATGTAAAGATGTCGAGTTCAATCTCACTGAGTAACTTGATTCATAGCCAGTATTATATGAAGATAAGAACAAAACAAAAATGATCAACACAAATCTGGTTATCAAATTAATCAAAACATAAAAAATTAAAACAAAAAAAAAATGCGATTCTCCTGATAAAAAAACACTAAGTTTATGCTAGCTTATATCGTACAATACTTCCAAATTATATCATGCACAAAATATAATTTATATCATATAAATACTGTAAGAGTCATGGCATTCTACGTACAATGAAGCAATAATGACAAGAATGGCATAATGAAGAAAGATTACTTTTTGTCCTTCGAAACCGAAACTGAAACTCTCTGTAAAAAATATTGCTGAGCATCATGCTATTTTTTCATTTTGACATTCGCAGTTTTCTTCCAGGTCGATACAGTTCTGGAAAATGAATTTTTGAAAACAAACCAAAATAACATCTCAAATACATATGATGAACCGCAAATACTACCTGTAAAGCAGCACAATAATGTAACATAAGGACAGCAAGAGCTTGAAGTCTGTTCTCCAACAAAATAAACTTGACAGAATCGCAGCTTTGTGCATCTCTTTCGCTTTCCATGACACTCAAGCGTTCTACGGTTGTTTGGTGAATGATACTACGTATTTTTTCCATCTGTAGAAATGATATTTGCAAACAGACTCAATAAAATCAAATATCAAATATCGAACCTCAAAGAATAAAGATTTGTGATTCAGTTTTCAAACAACACACTCTTATATTATTTACCTGTATTAGCAAGTACATTGTTTTACATATATACATAATATTTTGGTAACGTTCTAAATATATATTAAAAAATCTTACATCTTCATTAATTTTTGCTTTTCTCTCGACAGGATCTAGATTAGAAAACATATCTTTACCAGCAATTTTAGCAGCACTTATCATTTCCTCATTATAGGCGTTTCCTGGTTGATACATCATTTGGCGCGTATTTCCTGAGAGTCTTAATATCGAAAAAACATCCGGTATTGCTTTCTAAATATAAAAACAAAAAAAAATTAATAAATTGTACTAAAGGTCATATTTGTTTTGTTCAGTAATGTGACACATTTGTTTCATCTAGTAATATTACACAATGAATTCTTTCGTCTTATATTCATAATATTACGACTAATAACACTGACAATAACTGTACACTCACCTCTACTGGCACAATTTCACAATTTTCAATTTGAACAGGAGATTTATGCTCTGAAACACAAAATAAATACGGGGAAATTGAGTCAACTTTTCCAAGAATGAAATCGGTGATAATTACTTTTTCTCTGAATTTCTTTTAAAGCGTGAAAAGATGCTTTCTTGCGTCCAACACTCTTCCAAGTTGAACTTATTCTTTCAGACACCTTAATTGCAATACGGCGTCGCCGAGTAGATGGATGTTCCTCACAATGTGCTGAAAATGGTGTCATAGATTGTATTACACAACAAATGATTTGAAACTATCAATTAAAGAAAGCAATTTAAGAAGCTATAGGCAACAACTGCTTTCAGAAATAAGTATTTCGATAAATCCGGAAAAGATGTGATAACTTGAAACACAGGTGCTGCCTTCTTAAGTTTACAGTTATTTGACAGTCTACAATAATAACTGTCAACTTCACTCAACATCAGTAATACATATATAATTCTCGTACCAATTTTTTTATTAAAAAACTTTGAAAATATTTCTGAACTGAAAAAATTCTATAAAAATTTATCCATATCAAAGAAAAAAGTTAAAAAAGGGAAGACAATTTTATAATTAAGGATTTTAAAAAAAATAATAATAGTAATAACTCGATCCCGAAGAGCTTATTTTTGTTGCTACACAATTGTTTCCGGCTTCATCACACATGACTCGGGACGCTTCATTTGAGTCTACATCTACTCCATCCAGAACCGAAAATATTTTATTAAATAAGAAATTATCACTTCAAGATACAAAAATACGTCAATATATCCAAGAAAGAAAATTCAAATGAGAATAAAGGCATATTCCATACTAATTTATATGCTTTTTCGTACAGTTACTTGTTTTCCGATCGATCCCAGCAATTGCTTTTATTAAGTCAAAACTTGATTATCGAATTTGATGATAAGAAACAAACTTCATAAGTTGAATCATCAATGAGAGGACGTGGAGTACAAGCTGAGTCAACTTTGACTAAACACTTGTTGTGAAAAATTATAAAGCACCGCGTACAGTGTGACGCTAATTTAAGCCAAACTTTCCCTTTACAAACTGCACAAATAGCCCATCCTGAAAAAAATTGGTTGGAAAAAATGAAAGAAAAAAAGTAAAACAGCACAAGATAAAATATTCTGACAAACAAACCTTTCAGTGCAATCGATTTGAAACTATGTGTAGTTGACGATGATGGCTCAATATTACTCTCCATAAAACTTTTTTCTACTGCATTTTCTGTGCTGAATTTCGATTAAAAACATAAGATACTACTTACATTTAATAAAGGCATAAGAACATGAGATAGCTACTTACATTTAACTTTTTCACTCACTAAAATTTAAGGAATTATTAAAATGTTCACTTTCTAAAATCTGCAATCAGGTGATCTACGACTTTTATGGTAGATTTCTTGTGATTGAACTACATATTAGGCACGAACTACATATTAGGCACTGGTATCTAAATCTGGAATAAGAGAGAAGTTATAGTGCACTACGGTTAGAAAAAACCAAAAATTTTGAACAAGTTGTGAAACAATTGAAAAACTACTTTAACTGATCTTTAACATCCGTAGGAAAACCTTCAGGGAAATAACGAAAGCCTAAAACGATATCCCCATAACACAGTCGTTCATCAAAACCAGCTCTGCGACTTTCCTCTGCAGCTTTTGATGTTAAACGACGTCTAGAAATTAAAATTACAAATACATTTCAAATCTCTTTTCTGAAAAAAATTCAAAAAAAAACTATTATTTATATATTGATAGGATAAAAATGCAACATCGATCACTCTTCCAAGTCACCTTGTTATGCAGAATGGAGGTCGCAACATGAAGAGCTCACGATGACAATTTGAGAGTGTGAGTTGACAGTCGTCCAGCAGTTGGGGAATGTAAATGCTCACCTGTAGTAAAGCTCGAATTCTTAAAAATTCTTCGTAATAAAATTTTATGACACTACGATACGAACTGATTTTATATATTTGAAAACCAACATAACCAAGCATTTGAGAAAAATCATCCTCATGTGTCACTGGAATTTGATTGTCAGTGGAATTTCTTTCCTCACGGTTTGATGGTCGCGTTTGCACAATTACATTCAGATATTTGCAAAAGTCAGGATCTAATTTGAAGTGCAGCGACTGACCCCAAAGAATATCCTTAAAACAATCAGAACCATTAAATACTCGGTTAAATCGTTTCAGATTTTGAAAGCAAAATAGTGAAAAGTAATAAAAGAAGTCCATGACGCATATTCAAAGATTAAAATAAACGAACTTAAATAATTATGGTTTCTTCACTATTTACTGTAGTAGTAATCTACAATCTCATGTAAATATCATTAGGAGAAAAATTCAAAACAAAACTAATTATTACCCTCAAATTGCTGACGAAATTAAGGCTAAGAAATTTATTTTCATAAATCTGTGAGAATAAATTTCTACTTAAAAACTATTCAGTCACTCCCTGCAGTAAACTACGGCACAGTACGATGACTTGAAGTATCAATGTAATATCTTAATGTTGGAGGAATACAAACAGATTATAGCAAATATCGTGCATCTACTTCTATAAAAATAAACAATGTACATGGGAAAAAGCTTTGCTGGGTAAATATTGTAAGGAAGAACGCAGCAATGCAGAGTGCAGCAAATAAAGAATGATCAAAGTAAGAGATAAATACAGATACTAAAAATTACAATTACTGGGTCTTTTTTATAAGAGCGTACATATAGTCTGATCTATTATTTTGCCAAAATATACTATAGATTCAATTCAAGCAACATATTAATAACAACTTTAAGGTCCATAAAAACGCTCAACTTGTCCAGAAGACTCACAAACTTTAATTTGCTCTTTCTGTTTCACTGAGTTATACATGAGTTAGAAAACATACTTCATTCAATGTAAGTGCTTTAGTTGTTAACGTTTTTGGAGGGCTGTTTGGTACTTCCTGAACTTCTTCGATTTCATTATTTTGTACACTGATTCTACAAAACATGTATATATAGTGAATTTAGAACAGCCCAATAAAAAACTTTAGCAAAAATTCTGAAAAACAGCATCGCTCCCACTTTTTCCGCGTGAGTAGAGGGCTTCGTTTTTTTTGCTCTAAATTTGACACAGGCGATGATGTAGACGAATCTATCTACAAATAATTTCTAGTAGATAAATATTAACTGTTCACTGAATTCAATCCACGAAGATTTTAAAAAACATCTAAGACAAGAAAACTTGATAATGAGTTTAAAAGAGCCTAGTAAAAAATGAACGATCACGAAACAAACACAACTTTTTTCTAGTTTTCCGGATTTGTAGTCATTTGACTGCTACAAAATAATTTTTTTTTACGAAGTCAGAATCAAAACTGCTTCAAAGTATACAAACCAATAGACTTACGAAGTCAGCATTACATTGCCCCAACAAACCTACTGAATCTCGCGAACAAGAGCCAACATCTTTATGTCGGTACCAAAAATCGGACATTCTAGCTTTTCCAGCTGCTGCCATTTCCACTGCTCGGGCCTCAAATCACACTGATAACACGAAGTACAGAAGAACCTTAACTACACGTAATAGTGATATTACGCAAAGAAAAACCTGTAATCGTCCTCTTCGAGTAGGATTTCTCATAGAGTCTTTCATCCTGTTCTCAGCAGAAATATCCACATTTAAATTATGGATACCATTACCCTCTGTTTCTTTTAATGCAGAATCCAAAACGTTACCCTCTGTCCACTCGAACATCTTCTCTTTTTCCTGATGATTTAAGCTCAAAACTGTAGGGAAAGGAACTAAAAACAATTACTGTACTCATATTGTACAGCTATTAAACTTTGTAAGTACAGTGCGATCTTTAGTCTTAAATCAGAATCTTCATACCTTAATAATGTCAAAATCACAAGAAAATATGTCACCAGACAATTGGACAAAGATTAATTAATACCTCACGTACTAAATTAAAGGAATTTCCAAGGCTCTTAGAGAACAGCGGCTTCTGTTCTTCATTACAAGAGCGAATGCTTTCATTAATTTCTGCTTCTGACCTTCAAAAATTTGATATTATTAAAAGTTGCAACATACCCATTTTTTTCTGGAATAACAACACTTCGTACACTAATAAAACAATTAGGTAGCATTGCACAATTCTCTGTGAGAAAATATAGGGTATAAAGATAATTTTACATCCAAAATTAGTAGAACACTAATTATTAGCTCTTTGAAGACGTAATATACTTATGTTTCCTGATAACATTATTAGTTTGTTAAGCAGCTATTATTAACAATAATATAAAACTCTGGAATGAAAAACGAGTTTTGATGCAAACTTCAGGAATTTGTTTTAAGTGACCTGGGAAATCAATGAGGAAATTCAACCCTAAGAAATCATGTTTACCTCACACGTCTAATGTTGAAGCATGTCCTCGAGCTCACAGTACGTCCATTTCGACCCCTTGGCCCGTCAAGCAAAACCGAATGTTCCAGTGGTATTTTTGAAGAACTATCAAATTTGGCTGTTGGCAATGAATGTAATAAAGTTCTCTGCTGCACAACGTTTGTTATCGCTTCACAACTTGTCGTATCCGGACAAATAGTTGGTACATCCCGCTTACATTGGTAAGTGCCTGAAAAAAATTAGGACTATTTCCAGCTAAATGAAAATGTTTGCTTTTGAAATTGCGAAAGAAAACACCTGCTCCCACTACTTCGCAGAGCCTGCCTTCATTTTTTATTTTATTGAATGTTTCGGGTGAAACTATTTCTTCAAGATCATCGACAGAACCCGTTCCATCTCCTGACAATAATTCTATTTGAAAAACAAAACTATAGCTGACAAAATGTTTTACTTTTAATGAACACTTTTATCCATATTTGTGCGACAATTTATGAGTGTCCTTGAGCAACTACGATAAATTCACATGAATATAATAAATAAATTTTTAATAAGGCAAAAAATCAGCAAAAACAAACATTTAAGCCTTTAAAAGATTAATAACACACTATTTTTGACTACGCAATCCGAAATATAAGAACTAACCATTAATATTTGTAAAATATAAGAACTAACCATTAATATTTGTATTAACTTCATCAATAGTTCGATCAATTAAAACATTCAATTCACCACATGTACCGGTAAGTAGCTTGCTAAGCTGACGCTCACTTGTTACGGGTACATTATTTACAGCAAGAACAATGTCACCTTCAACTGATATATAACACTTTAACACATGAAATTGAACCAGTAATATTTAACAAGGAAAATAACATGCCTGGTTTGAAACCACATCTACCAGCAGAAGAAGAACTGCTTACTGCAGAAATTTGTACACTTCTGCCATTTGCATCAGACGGAAGCTAAAATAATTTATTCAAATACATTAATGTAAAGACTAGCAATTAGTGAGATTAAATAGCTTAATTTTTGATGTCAAAACATGCTGTAAATATTTTAAGATAGTACATAAAAGAGTTAGCAAGACATCACAAAAATCGTTAGAATAAAACTGTAAGCGAAAAAAAAAGAAGTATTAATATAAAACATTTAAGTATTTAGTTTTTTAAGACGCTGAATTAAATAAGATTTCATAAATAGTAAGTTGATACTTTTATAAATAAATGAGACAGTAAAAAAAAGAATGAGAGCTAAATCCGCATAAATAACTGCAATGAAATTTTGTCAAAATCATAATTCTGATGAAATTTGGAATCTGAAACATTAAATTCTCCACTAGAATGTATCTCATTGTAAATGCATTATTCATTAGTTTTAAGCAACAGATCGTAAAGTTACTTCCTAACCAATTTCAAAGAGCGTTACCAAAAGTGATTTCTCACGATCTGTAATCAACTACAACATTTATAACGTATTACGATCTGAGGTCCTACAATAAATGAGTCAAAAGAATTTCGAGCCTGCTTTTTTGAACACTGATAGAATTGAAATGTATCAACATTGATTCAACTAATTTACTTTGGAGAATGTCATTCCAACTGACTCATTGTTACCATGTCGAGTGAAATTTATTAACAAAGTTACGCATCGAGTTGAGCTTCGGTTTGCATTCTGCATTAATGGTCGCTGATCTATTGAATAATCGTATGAAGCATTTCTTTTAAGCTTTTTAGAAAGAGTATATTCAATTTTATTGCACTAGCTTTTCCGGCAATCAAATTTTTTGTAAATGGAATTTCATGTCACTTGATTTTTAATTAATAATTTTCTTTACCTACAGAAAGAACGCAAAAAATTTTGGAATTTTCATCTCTCACTAATGCAGTATTGAGTCTCGTACATCGTAAAACTGTTACTTCTAGTACACCCGTAACTTTGATATATTCAAAAGCACCTGAAATACAAACTAATTTTTAAATCATTAGGAACTATCTGAGAAATAGATACTAATTTTACAACTCTTGTATAGTGACAATGTCGCAAAAAAATCCTATTATTCATTAAATCTTGGTTTTTGAGATAACTTTGTTAGCTCACTCATCGTCATATTTGAGCATGCAGTCGTGAAAAACCTAACTACAATGACACCATACTTGAAAAATAATATTTAAAAAAACTTGAAGATGGAGAAGGTTGGTATAACGGATTGGGGAAAAAAGGACGATATCGTATTTTGTAACTAGGCCACACGTGCTTACGCTGGACCATCCGTCTCAATTGTTGCGTGATGAAAGGTATAAGATGCTTTACTTGCTTTCCCTGCCATTGTGAATCAACCTAGAAGATAATTTAACCTTAAATTGATAATTCACTCGTTTTCCTAATTTAAAGTTCATCTCAGAAAAAAAGAACATTTAGCATTTAGATTAAAGCTAAGTTGTACAATTAAAAAAATATCACTTCCAATTTAAGCCTGAGATTTGTAGTAAAAAGAAAAATTCAACCTGGAAATCCAAAACTGGCATATCCACAAATGAGAAAGCCCAATGAGTAAATGGTTCGCGAGTTAATTTCAACCGAACTTTTCCGGAAAGACGAGTAAGCTAAGTTGAAAATGATTAAAAATATAATAACAACCTTTAAAGATGATTTAAATGAATAATGAAAGAAACGCGGAACAAATTTTGCTTGCTCAACACAACTTATGATGATAAATTCTTACTTTAATCGAAAGCTGTGCAAATCGTCCAAACAACATACTTACATCAACAGAACTTTGAAAACCACCTGTATAATCCACATCAACAAGCAATTTCAAAGTCTAAAAAGCTATCGTCATTCTGCTGATTTATAGAGATTTTATCTTTCTAAGACATAAGACTCGGTCATATGAATACAGTACATGAAATTACTAAAACTGTGAAAGGTTCAAAACTTTAATAAATTTATAGAGATATGATTCCGTATACCGGATTAAAAATTAGTGAAATGAGCTGTACCTACTTTGAAATCTTCATCCGATGACACTTCATAATTTTCTACACATACTGCTTTTATCACAGGAGATTTGGAGCCAATGGACAAATCTCTAATTCGAATATCCTGAAACAAAAAATTTAACCAATTCGAAATTAAGAAACGACAGAACCAAACAAAATTAAACTTGCTTCAACCCTACCTTAAAAAATAAGCAATCAGGTTTGTTCCGCTTCATTTCATGAGCAGTAAATATAAACTATATAGTCGTGAAAACTACAGGTTCTTTTTTGAAAATGTAACTATTAAGTTCATGCTTCTTCAAGTTTAAAATTTTATAATTGTGATCAATTTCGCAATTTAGATGAAAACTATTAGTTTTGGAAGATAAAAATAAAGAGAATTAGTAATAAGTAAGGAATAATGTTCCATAAAAAAGTATTTAGAAATGGTTTTTAAAATGAAAAACAAAATAAACTTCTATGAGTCGTCCTGCAGCATTTCGAGTGGTCAAATCATTGAGTTCTAGCTGTAACTGCTTATGTATCCATCTATAAAACACAAAAACTACTTTGGATTAATGTAGAAATTACAACAGAAACTACTCATGAATTAGTGCTTTCAACAGTTTAAAGCAAAAAACCTTCGCAGACGACGAGTATCCTTATGTTCTTGAAAAAGGAAATGGAGGACAAGGCTCAGATTGAAGCATGATTCCCACTGAGGAGTTTGGCTTTCATCGTCAACTGCGTTCAGAAAATGCTTTAGTTCCTAAAAATAACAGAGATATTAGATTGTTTTCATTCATAACTCATTCTATCTTAAGGAAATTTGTAGGGCAGATCATAAAATTAAAAGATACATCAGGTAAACGGTGTGGTTGAAATTGCTCAACAAATGCAGTGCGCACAGGTATGTTTCCGAATGGGTTAAATAACCAGACGTAAATAATTGAAAGTACCAAGACAGCACCAACGACAATACCCCACAAAAATTCCAACATGGATGTTAATCACTGTTAACAATATAACCAGAGAAAGTGAAACAGTGAAGAGTTTTGTCCAAGCACTATCACCCTTGTTACGGAGTACATTTTGGAATGGAAGTATTATTCAGAAAATTACAATTTCCTAAAAAAAAATACACAAAGTTATGAGAAAAATTGTCAGCATACGTCTACTTAATTAATTTAAGGTCACAAATTCATTCAAAATCTTCTAGAATAAAGTTTTAATACCTCTGCGTTACAATGTAACTCGTCTAATAGCAATTTTCATTAGTACCTACCAACATGAAAATATCAGTCTCACAAAGTGACGTATTTCCTCTAAGCGCAGTTACATTGTATAGACACAATCGTTGAAAATTGTGTCGTGAGGTTGCCAAGTGGCGTGTGTTTCTTCCATAACTTAGTGGTTTGTAGCTTTCTGTTGTGAATTTATTTGAGCGAAAGTGAACACTGCAGTGGTTGTTGTTGCTTGAAGTCAACAAGTACATTAGTTTCCATTTCATTTATCATTTACCATTGTTAGA